ATATATATATATATATATATATATATATATATATATATATATATATATATATATATATATATATATATATATATATATATATATATATATATGTAGACTCCTAATACAGACATCAAAACAAGAAGTTCTTTTTGGTCTAATGTTCTTTTATTAAAACTGTAAACAGTTTTATATTGTAGCCAACAAGCTCAAAACTACATTTGTTGTCATTACTGTATTTACTTCAATAGTCTTATACTATTCTGTTTATATGAAGTATGTTATAGTGTACAAATATATGATATGTGTGTTTCATAGACTTGGAAGGACAAGCGAATACCATCTTTTAAATCCCCACGTCTGGCCTTGCAGTTATACCCAGCACGCAATTCAGGCCAAGATTCAAGGCATTCTTTTCGATAAAAACCCCCAGATTTTTTAGAATAGAATGCCCTAGAATTTTCAGATGAAAATACTGTATTTTGGTCGAAATAGCAATGAAAAAACAAAATAAACAGTAGTAGCTTTTAGAATAGTTATATATATATATATATATATATATATATATATATATATATATATATATATATCACATTAGTTGAGAAAAACTGGTAAAAGACCTTTAAGACTTAAGGAATACGTAGGAAAAGAAACCAGGCCGGCAGTTTCGAGCCCTTTTCGTCTTTGCCCATTCTTGCCCGGTCGAATTCCAAATTGTAAATTGTACTAATTAGAACAAATATACATCCAAAACCTTCACACCAGTTAGTTTTTCCCAAAAAAAGGTGGTTCAACGGGATCGGAAACAGTAGGACGACGTAAAATGCAAAAAACATGGTTTTCCCCTATGTCGCTCTATGATTTTTGACCGGTTGAGCCGCCATCTTGGATTTTCAAATTTGGCGCGCCTCTTCAGCCCAGTCGGCAATCTAGGTCTCCTATATCTATGTGCAAAAGTAATCAAATATACTATTTTTAATTTCCCTTCATTGAAAGGATCTAATATTGTGGCCCAAACTAAATCTTAATCAGCATATAAAACTGCGAACAACAGCCAAGTATTAGCTGGGTAGTTTGCAAATTTTAAAAATAATTGGACCTCAAACTTTGACCTCCAAAAATAAACAAATAGCCAATACCGCAAACATAATCCAAGTTTTGATCACTAAGTCCAAGCGGAATTTTTAGATGTAAAAAAACTTGTTTAAATTACACATTAAACAAAGGCAAAACAAAATTTGGTATTAATTTTTTGGAGCAAAATTCAAGGTTGTTTCCTATCCGCCCATGCTTCTACACCCCCTCTCCCAGGATCTTCTATCTCAAAAAACAATTTTCTCCACAAACTATGCTTTTTTCTCGGGAAAAGTTTTCTTTTTCTTAAAAAACACTTTATAAACACGGAAACCTTAAATATTTAAATAATTTTCATACCTTTTTGGGATTGCAAAAAGCAAAATCTGATTCATTATCCCACTTTTTAAAATATATATTTGAAAGTTGCTTCGAAATCACTATCACGCAGTAGCATGTTTATTTACCCTCATCCTTTTGACTGAATAAAGTTTATCTTTTTGAAAAGCTATTTGTATTATAGCTCTTGGTTACTGGTTTACGTTTATGTCGATTTTGGTACCCATGAGACCAACAAGTTGCAGTAATCCTCAAATGAAAATGGATATTCGAAGAGCATAAAAGCCAACTCCTAGCCATGTAACTTTATCGCCTGAATTTTGAATCATTCCACAAACTAAAATGCTGATAATGTAGATGATTTCCATACTTGAGATATTAGTGAAGTTTTTCCTGCAATTTAATTTCCTTGATCGCTGTCATAAAAATGCAAAATCATAAGTTGAAATTTCACTCGTCTTGTCTTTTCAAATTTTCGAATTTTTGTAGACTTTGTAAAATATCACGTGCGCCAGCAATTTCTCTGCAAATCGGTAGCAAATTTTCCAGCTGCTTTAGCTGCTTAACAGAGGGAACTTTCGTCTACGCATGCGCGAGAAACGTAAGCGTGGAGTGCACGTGAGCGCGGGTTGATCGCGTGACTGAATTTTAAAAACAAACACCAAATTTACCAAAACTACTCGTGTTATGAAGTCGTTTTCTTGTTTCTTTAACGTTTCTATGCTCACAATTTTAGGCATTTCCGACTTAGAAGTGTTTGCTTTGGAATAAGAACGTAAAAATAGCAATAAAAAACTTTGTTGCAGCAGTTTAATTTCGCTGTACAAATATACCTGTTTTAATTATATGTATATCTTTTTCGAAGTGAGATATACAAGTGCAAATTGACCTTCTTTATATTCGTACTTGCCCTATTTTTGACTGCTTATAAAAACTACTTTTATCCATGGAGAAACTAATTGACTTTAAAAATATGCTGGAATTATGGAGGTGATATAGGCTAGTTTCTTTGCAAACAGTGATTCAGTACTCGGTAGTGTACTTGTTGTATATGAAGAAAAGTCTAAAATGATTTCAACATCCATCAACAAAAAGGAATCGCGCTTATTACTACTCCTTAGAAGATAGACAATTAATTTAATTCACTAGGAACCCGTTCTACAATATAAACTAGAAATCGGCCAACATACAAAAGGCCAACATACAAAATCGGCCAACGGTCAAAAATTGTACTGCATTATGGCGTGCTGTAAGGAGCTCTGTGATGAGCCCTCTGATAAAACCGATATCTTTCTGAATTTATCGACAGCGAGTTTGATTGGTTTTTTCGGCCACAAGAAAAACAAATTAACATGGAGTGGAACCCTGAATGACTTAAAAACATTTGTGTCAACAATAATCGATGAAAAAGCCGCAGAAAGTGCCGTCTGGCGATCACCTAGCGGCGGCAAGTGGTGTTTCACCTGCGAAGAACTTGAGATTACGTGGCACTCGAAGAGTGGAGCAATAATTTTTGACGGAGTCAAAGCGGGAAATTTGGTAAAGCGAATAAAAGATATCCTTTCAAAGCCAGACGACGCGGAGAAGACTATCAATAGCGATCTTAACATGGAAGCGAATACTGATCGAGGTTCGTCACGCATCATTGAAAACGAGGTATCTAGTCATAACAGTACTTGCTTTGTAGTTATAGAGGGTATAAAACTCGAGATGGTAATTTTGGAAACCCGGCTACTCAATACCATAAAGGAGAATTAAGGCCTAATTCCACGAGGCGGAATTTTTCGACCGAAACGAAATTTCTCTTTGTCTTTTTACAATTAGTTCTGCTTGAGAGCTCATGAAACAAAAAGAAATTTCGATTCGGTCGAAAAATTTCGCCTAGTGGAAAACCGCCTTAAGTCAGACATTTGCTCGCTTAAATTTAAAGTCAAAGATCTAGAAGGTATCATCCGACATCAGGATGACGCAATTCTCAAGCTCTCAGAAGATAATTTAATTTTAAAATCTAAATTATCCTCTTTTGAAAACTTAACTTATAAAGTAATCTGCCATGACCATGTGAATAATGAACGTGCTAATGAGTCTGCCAGTACAACCCAGGTTAATGACCAATGTGGATTCCACGACAAAGACCAACTGACTAATTTGAATGCCAACAATTCGAGGTTTATTGAAACTTCAACCAAGGAAAAC